GCACAGGGTCCTTTTAGAAGACCAGCCCTTCCCAGGAGCAGAGGTCCCTCTCCTTTGATGTCAGCAAGCTAGGAGAGCACAGTAGCTGCTAACTGTGCCAGGTGTCCATCTGGGATGAGGAATAGGGAGAACCACTCCTTCCACAAAGTGGCAAGAGCAATTTGGTGGAAGGACAGGAGGTCTGGGTTCTGCTCCCAAACTCCTGGTGCATCTTTAGACAAGTCTTTTAGCCTCTGAGCCTGGGCTTCCTCATCTGTCCCATGACCTAAGAGTGCTCAGGGCTTGGGATGAGGTTCAGAGGTAGAGCACTTACTTAGTGGATTCCATCCCCAGCACCAAAATAAAAAAACACCTTACCTGTAGCTCAGTGAGCACACTTGCCTAGCTTTCATGAGGTCTTGGGTTCGATCCCTCACTGCAAAAAACTGTTCAGCAGCCTCTCAGGGCCTGGGAATAGAGCAGAACAAGTTTAACGCTCTCGAGTAGTGGTCTACACGCTGGGAGGAGATAATCTGAGCACCACAGGACTGACGAAGGGGTTATGATCCACCTACGTAAAGAACTTAACGCTCCACAGCCAGAGTACAAGCACTTCAACTAGAAGATGCGCAAAATACAAGAGCAGATATTTCACCGAAGGGGATGTATGCAGCGGGCACATAAGCCATGGAAAGACGTCCCACGTCAGTGAGAGCAATCACAATGATTAAACACTGGCCAGGCCTCACATGGGTAAGGCCTTCAGTTTGGAAAAAACAACGAGCACCAAATGCTGGTGAGGATGTGGAGAGACAAGTCCCCTCAACCATTGCTGGTGGGAAAATCCTCAACACACAGCTCAGTAGTGCACTCCTGGGCATCTGTCCGTGAGGAGCGAACACTTCCTTTCATGCAGAAACCTGAGTGTGAGTGCTTATTGCAGCTTCAGTCTTAGGGGCCCTAGGCGGAAGCAACCAGGTCTGGGATGGGGGGATGCCTGGCCAAGGTGGCACGTCCACACTGAAGGCCGGAGCAAGCTGCTGATGGGGCAACAACCAGGTGAACCTAGAGAAGTAGGCTGGGTGAAAGAAGGCTGGCTTTCTGCATTAAGCCCATTTTACAGGAGAAACAACAGGCCTAGAGGCCTGAGTGAGTCAGGCTTTAATGTAGATCTAGGAACATTTTAAGCTCCATTTCCGCTTCACACAGGCATGTTTCTCGAAGGATGCAGAGCTGTGAAGATTCTAACATAGATCAGAAGTTCACATTTCAAGCTTGGATTTAAATGGCTCAGACAGAGCTGCTAAGCCTGTGGGTTAGCATGGCATTTCTCCATGGAGCAGTGGGTCTGGCTTTCAAGTCAGGGAGACTCCAGTACAAATCCCAGCCTAGCCATATCCCACCCATGTGACCGAGAAAATCATTTCACCTTTATGGTCCTTACTTTCCTCATCCATGAAATGGGTACAATACTCTCAGATTTTCACAGCTCATTTAATAGAGACTTTCAGATGATAAAGATGGCCCTGCCCTCTTAGAAAACCTTCTGGGATCCAAGTAAAACTAAAGAGCTAGGCTCCTGGGTGCTCACAATAGCTGAACCTTCCTTTCCTCTACATCCATAGGTGTGACACCAAAGGAGCCACTGGGAGCTCTTCAGCCTGAGGTATCCATGGCCCTTATCATGAGAACTCTGATGCATAGCCTGACTGTCCATCCAACACTGACCCAAGCATGATAAACATCCTCTCTGTGAACAGGAACTGCTGCATAACATTTTTGTGATGGGAAACTGAGGCCACTCTGTCTAATCAGAGCACACGTGTGTGCTGAGTCAGGGGCCTGACAGGCAGTTCTGGAATGCAGGGAAGCCAGTGCCAAGCTCAGCTGCTGAGTTGGCTCCCTGGGGCTGTCAGCTGTGCCCCAGAACGGTGGGAGATTGTCCCATGAGTCAAGAGCACACAGGGCGGTGAGGTCACTGAACTGAGCCGAGCGGGGGGCTTCTGATACCTCAGGCAGGTCTATCCTGCATGGAAAGGTAGCAAATGCCTCTAGGTGATACAGCCACCTTGCCCCAGGTACACACACAGCCAGGTGCTGTGGAAGGAGCAGAGGTGCCTTACACTGGGACTAGGAAGCAAACAAGGTAAAGGAAAGTTTTTAGGAGCACTTAGTATGCGTCAGGCTTTTAAGTCTTCAGATGGCAGGATGCATTTAGTCCACAGTCCTCAAACATCAGCGGGCGTCAGGGCAGAGCTGGTAAAATACAGGTTGTAGATCCCATGCCCAGAACTTCTGGCTCAAGTAGGGCTGGGATGGGGCCTGAGGATTTTGTATTTCTATGGTTCTTTTTTTTTTTTTTTTGTGGTAATGGAGTTTGAACTCAGGGCCTACACCTTGAGCCACTCCACCAGCCCTTTTTTGTGATGGGCTTTTTCAAGATAGGGTCTTGCTAACTACTTTCCCTGGGCTGGACTTGAATATGATCCTTCTGATCTCTGCCTCCTGAGAAGCTAGGATTCCAGGCAAGAGCCACTGCACCTGGCTTCCTTTTCTTTTTTCTTTTTGGCAGCACTGAGCTGGGCCTCATGCTTCCTAGGCATTCACTTTCACAGCTTGAGCTACTCACGAGTCCTAGATTTTGTTTTGGTGAATGGTTTCCAGGTGATGGAGCGGGTGGTGGTCTTGGGGGCATGCTTTTTGTTGTGTTTTGTTTTGACATAGGGTCTTGCTATGTAGCCCAGGCTAGCCTTGAGCTCCAGACCCTCCTGCCTTAGCTCCCCAGTGCTGAGATTACCAGTTTGCACACCTTGGCTCGAGAAGAACTAGTTTGAACATCTTTCATCTGTTTAATGTGGGGATCCTCAGGTTTCTTCTTAGAAGGGCTCATTGCCTGTTCTATCAACCTGTTTCATTTCTAGCCAGTTGCTCTTCTGAAGGGAGGGAATTTTGTGTGCTGTATTAAGCTGAAAGCTGGCTACCTTGGTGCTGCCCTGGGCCTCTGCACTGCATGGTCTCATCAGGAAGGAGAATGGAGGAGGAGGAGACTTACAATTAGACCAAGGGTCTCCCTCACCCCATGTGCACCAACTACCAGGAAATACATTGCGAGCTGTACCTGGAAATTCTGTAGCTGCTAAAATTTTAGGGCTGAAGCCATGGCTCAAGTGATAGGCTGCCTGCCTAGCAAACACAGTGCTCTGAGTCCACATTCCAATAACGTGAAAATTTTTTTTTTAATTTCCAGTAGCTATATGAAAGATAGTGAAAAATTTAATAATATATTTTACTTAACTCAATATAGTCAAAGCATTATCAGACACTCCCCGTGCATCTCAGTTCTGCCCAGCCACAGACAGGGGCTCCATAACCGCCTGTTGCTGGTGGCCACAGTTTTGGACAGCACACTTCTAACCAGCCGTGACCCTGTTCCTGGTCCCCACGTCCGTGCCATGGCTCATGCTCACGGCCACCTGTACCTCACACTTCCACACAACCCACACGCGGTGGCAAGGCATTGCCTAGAACATGGATTTGGTCATGTGGTTCCCCACTGCTGTCAGGATAATGTCTGGCTTCTGAGGCCCAGCCTCTCTGGCTTCCCCTTCCCAGGTCTTCCATCCCCTAATCCCCCCATGCAGGGTAGATGGAACGATCTGTACACCTCAGCACAACGGTGTCCTTTATCTCAAACTTTGCAGGAATAAAAATCCCTTGGATGACACTTTCAGTTCACTTATTCAACCCAGTTGAGTATTTCCCATGTGTCAGACAGCCCTAGGTTCTAGAGCAACACATAGAAGGAAACTGATGTCAGGTGAACAGGGTGGGAGGGAAAGACAGGCTGGGGTTACTGCTGTATACAAGGTTGTCATAGATGGCTTCTCCAAGGAGGTGACATTGGAATAGAGACCTAAAAAGTGAAGGAAAGAGCCAGATGTCTTTCTAGGAAGAGTGTTCTAGACAGAGGGAATAGGCCCTGAGGAGGAGGACCGCCCAGATGTTTGGCACATAGTCCATGTGGCTGGGGCCAAGGGAGGAAGGAAGACAGGAATCAAGGTCAGAGAGAGAGATGTGTGGGACCTGAGAGCTGTGGGGGTGTGCTGAGCAGTGACTGGGCAGCACAACAGCCATAGAAGTGGAGAAGGACTGGATTTGGGGTAACATCAAAGGAGGGCCCAACAAACAGGACTTTCCAGATGGGTCATGTATGTACAGAGGATGGGAGAACAGAGTCAGGGATGAGTCCAAGAGTTCAGGTTTGAGCTTAGGGTCTGGATGAGCCTTCTTCCAGGAAGCCCGTCTGCAAACCACGCTCCTGGGCCTTGCTTGTCTTCCCTGGAGGTTGATACCCAAGGGCAGTGGTATCACTTGCTTCCTGCCCTCCTGCTGGATGATTGATGAATGAGTGAAAGGCAGAGGTGGGCACACCTGTGAGCTGCCCTTCGGGTGGTACCTGTGTTTTTCTACCTTGCTAGGCAAGCAGCTGCCCTCCAAAGTTGCCTCTAGCTTTAACCCATCTCCTCCCCAGTAGAGCTGCCAGTCCCTGCTTGCAGCTGCCCCCCGGCCCCTGAGCCCCCTGCCTTCCCTCCTGCACCCTGCCAAGGCTCAGCCTCCAGGAGCTCTGAGCATCCATCCCTGCAGTGTCTCCCAACCTGCAGAGCGGGTTGGGACACGTGGCTGGGCTCTGAATCAGCCTCACCAGTGGGCATGGGAACACCTGGGACACACACCCTCCTTTCTTTCCCAAGCCTGGCATTGCCCAGGGTGGCCCTGCTGGCCCAGCATCACTGCCTGGTGTTGCCTTGGGGGTGGCCCATGTACATCTTTCCCCATCTGTCCTTCCTGGGGTGCCAAGAGGAAGAGGCAAGTCAGACAGGAAGGTTTGGGGCTGATAGCACTGTAAGGAGAAATGCCACTGGGGTGAGCCAGTGGGGCCCCAGACCACGTCACAGCTGCCCCGCCCTCCTGGCTATCACGGGTGCTGTGGCCTCTCCTTCCCCTGCCTGGTTACATCCACACTGTACACTGCTCACCTGGCTGCTCACACAGAGGAAGGATTCCAGGTAATGGACACGGTGGAGGGGGTAAGGGGACAAGGAGGGGTGGGGTTCCCCAGGCTTCCTTGGTGGCCCCGGGTTGAAACCCCAGTTCTGCGCCTTCCTTGCTGACTGGGAACCTCAGTCTCCACCTCAGTGACAAGTATTTACCTCCCACAGTCGTTTTGAAGCTGAGTGGCCTGAGCCTGGCCACACTCAGTGACCAGCTCTGATTTTGTCACTGGCTGCTGTGGGACTTTCAGAAAATCTCCTGACCTGACTGAGCCTCATTTGTGGACTGAAGGGTCTGACCAGACCTCTGAAGAACCAAGGGGTAGAAGGCCTCTGGGTGGAGAAAATACTGAATAGAAAAGCAGGCCTTGGGGGAGACCCCTGCTGCCTGGCAGAACCTCATGCCAAAAGGTGGGGCCCTAGGCGAGGGGTAGCCTGGCAGACCCCTGGAAGCCCCACAGAGCCCTCCAGGCCACAGCCCCCTAGGGCGCCTTCCTCACCCCGAGGTCACCTGTGCTCAGGTCATTCGGCTGTCAGCCTCAAGTCCCCCTCTTTTCCTTGTAAGGGAAGGAGAAAGGTCATGGTCCTGTGCTTATTTTTTTCTGTTCTATTTAGAAACTGCCCCCAAAGAGTCCTGGGAACTGGCAGGGTGTTGGAGGGATGGGTGAATGAAGTGTGGATTGTGCTCCTTAGGGCCCAAACCAAGCAGATCTGGAAGCAATGAGACTGACTCCTGGCACCGAAATCCCTAGAACTTGAATGGGTGTAGCTTTTGAGAACACTGGGTGTCAGTGCTCTGAAATCCTTGCACCTTCTTGGGGACCTGTCAAGTGCACTGGCTGTGTCTCAGGACCACAGTGGTCACTGCCTGGCTGGTCTCTGCCTCATTTCACCCTCACAGCAGCCCTGTGGGTGGTATCTTCAACCTTTTGGTTTGTTTGTCTGTTTGTTTTTTTCAACTTACAGAATTGAGCTAGGACTCTCAGTCCATAAACCTCACCCTTTCACAGGGTACAATTCAGCAGTTTTTCAAATACACCCTGAGCTGAGTGACCATCCTTATCTAATTTTGGACACTTTTTCATCCCCAGGATAAATCCTGTTCCCTTTAGAAGTCATTTCCCACCTCTCCTCCCCTCCCCCAGCAACAACAAGGCCACTTGTGTCTGTGGATGCGGCTGACAGGGCATTTCACAGAGATGGAATTGCAGTGTCGCTCTTTTCCACTGCCTTCTTTCTCTTAGCCTAAGGTTGTCAAGACATACCTGTGTCGTGGCATGAATGGTACTTCTTTCCCCTGGATGGCTGGATAATGTTCCATTGTTGCTGTGTCACCTTTTGTGTGATGGACATTTGGATTGTTTCCCCTTTGTGCCTGCTTTGGATGACCTGCTGGAGGCGTTCACGTACAGGTCTCTGCACTGGTTTCAGTTCTCTTGAGTGCGTACAGAGGAGTGGAATTGCCTGGGTCACCTGTCACTCCATATTTAACACTTTGAGAAACTGCCAAACTGTTTTCCAAACTGACAGTACCAATTTCCAGTCCAATCAACAGCACACAGGGCTCCGATTCCTCCACACCCTTTCCAAAACTTGTCACTGTGCACCTTACTCTGACCATCCTCGTGGGTGTGCAATTGTGTCCTCCTTGTGGTTTGATCTACATTTTCCTAGTGACTAGTGACACTGGCCACTTTCTGTGAGCTACTCACTGTTTGTGAGTCTGCTTTAGAGAAACATCTGTTCAATTCTTTGACCATTCTTAAACCAGGCTGTTGGTCATTTTGTTAAGTGGTCGGCATGCTTGTTTTCCCAGGTGAGGATTCTAAGGCTGTGAGACAGAGAACGAGGTCTTGAAGTCAGGGAGAGGTAGAGGGTGGGACTCATTCCAGGTCTGTCTGATGTTCAAGGGAGACAGACTGAGACTTCAAGAGAGAAGCAATTGGTGTGCCTAACTAGGCACTCTATCAAGCTACGACAATCAGAGCCAGGGAAGCCTTTGAAGGACTTTTAAAAATGTGTTCCCATTAATCTTCACATTTATCTTTGGCGCTTCAAAAAAGCTTTATGGGGGCACACTCCCCGCTAATTTTTCTTTGTCCCTAAATCTGCAACAGATTCTAAGGAGACCTAAAAGCCCAAACAGGAAGAGCATTCCCTAGTGTTAAGCTGTGTAAGGACCCAGAGCACTGCTCCTCCAGCTTTTTTGTTGTACTTTTTGAGACAGATTCTTGCTATTATCCTTGGTTAGCCTTGAACTCACAATCCTCCTGCCTCAGTCTCCTGAGTGTGGGGACTTCAGGCATGCACCTCTTTTCTTGGCCCTGTCCAATTTTTTGTATTATTTTTATTTTTTGATGGCACAAGTTTTGAACTCAGGGCCTCATGCTTGCTCGGCAGGTACATTTACCACCCGAGCCACTCCACCAGTTCTCTGCTCAGCTTTTTGATTGTGCATCCTTCTCAAGAGGATTTGGAGTATGGCTCTTTCCGTGGTCAGTGATAGGCAGTCCAATCTTTTTGGCAATGCAGGGCAGCATTGGAGTCAGCACAGGAGCTCGAGGGGAACACCTGGCATTCTGCAGTGCACAGTGCTGCTGGGCTGAGGTGCACAGAAGGTTAGCCGTACCAAATGCATTTGCGAGTCACCTTTCCCCCTTCCGTGGGCTTCTCGGGACCTGACCCCACCGGAAGCTAAGGAGCAGACCATCAGCTCATGCCCCCAGGCCCAGGGTCCACAAGGAATGCATTTCATCCACTGAGATTGGGTGGAAATCTACCTGTCAAATAGTTTTCTTATTATTGCTCCCAGAAGCAATGGTTTATTATATGCAAGATCCCCTTTGATCATTGCTTTCAGTGCACTAACAGGGATGACAAAGGACTTGAACTAGGAGCAGGAGCTGGTCTCCCCAGCACTTTTCCTGTCACTTGCTTGTCCTTTCATGATTAAAGTTATCTCCATCCGTGGTTCTTTGCAGGGACTCTGAAGCCCGTTATCCACACTAAGGGGGCTGATGCTGTGAAAGCTGTATCGCTGAGCCTCAAACCCACCCAACAGGGCTCCTGTGCACCACAGTGTATGGCAACCTCTACGTGCAGGGAGGTGTGGCCACTGCACCCCCATCACCTTGTGGGACTCCCCACTGGTCTTGGGGACCCTGCATAGGGACGTAACGTGCAGTGTCCTGCCATAGATGCTGAGGATGCATATCAGGGTCAAACTACATACTACTAGATGTTTTAATTAGCTAAAAATTAAGTCGAAATAGATGAACTGATCCTTTCCTCCTGCATTCTGGAGGTCATTGCTCAAGAGACTAATGGATGCTGAGCTGAGGACATAGTCACCAACTGCTGTGCTCAGAGGCTTGCCACCCATGTGACAGCGTACTCAGGATCACCCCAGAGCAGCTGTCTTTAGAAAACTGTCTATAGGGTCGGATGTAGTGGTGCACACCTGTGGTCCGAGCTACTCAGCAGGCGAAGTCAGGAGGATTGCAGTTTGAGGCCATCCTGGGCTAAGTTATCATGAGAACGTATCTGAAAAAACAAACGAAAATCAAAAGGGCTGATGGAGAGGCTCAAGCAGTAGAGCGCCTACCTAGCAAGTGTCAGGCCCTGAGTTCAAACCCCAGTACTGCAAACAGAAAAAGAAAATTATTTCATATTGTCTAGCTAGCAACTTCCCTGGTGACAGCTCCAAGATCCTGACCCTCCCCTCTGGGCTCCTAGCCCTACCTGGTCCCCCTGTCCAAGAGTAGCTCTGCAGAGACCTGGGGACAGTGACTAGGCCTGTCACAAATAGTTCTCATGCTTAGGCCGAGACCCTGCTCCTCCAGCACTTCTCGTGACTATGGTCTCTGCTACCTCCCCATTCTCTGGATTCTGTTAGTCTGTCCACACCCTATTCTGCGCAAGACCGAGGAGTGAACTCAGGAGGAAGGATGGCAAGGTGTGGGTTACCTCCCTCGCTGTACACTCTGTGCTTCTGTTGGCACGACTTGCAGCTCAGTTGACATTGCTCTCTAGCTACATTGCCTTGTTGGCTCATATCGCCACTTTAACATCCAATGGTTGTGTACCTACTATGTGCCGGTATGCATAAGGTAGCATAAAGGCAAGCTAGGTACTTACCTTTTGATTATCTTTAACACATCTTAGCTGGGCGTTGTGGTGCATGCCTGTAATCCCAGCACTAGGGAGGCAAGAAGATTGTGAGTTTAAGGCCAGCCTGGGCCACATAGTGAGATTCTGTCTCCAAAAAAAGAAAAAAACCACAAAAAAGAAAAGCAACACGTGATTCCTATTCCCGGGAGCTCAGGGTCCTTACCTCAGCTCTCATACCAATCCTGCAATCTAGTGGCACTGCTTATTCCCTCATCAGAGATGGGGAAACTGAGGCATGTAGAGGTGAAGTGATTTTCTCAGATGCCGGAGCTGGGCAGTGATGAGCTGAAGTGGGCTCTGCCAGACCCCATGGCTTGGTTGCTTAGTCCAGAGCCCACTCAGCATAGCATCTGGCTGGGCTGCGAGAGCTCCACTGCATCCTCTCCTGCTCGCAGCCCAGGTTAGTGCTGAGGCTTCTGAGTGGTGTTTGTGCCCGTTGTGTGCCTGAGGAAAGGGACCTACAGGAGAGAAGTGACACATCCACAGGCCCAGGTGGATTCGTGGCAGGACCAGGCCCTCAGGCTCACGACAGTGGACTCATCCTCCCGCCCCAGTCCTTACCCAGCATTCCCTGCTCTGGTTAAATCAGAGGGTACCAGCGGGAATGCACTGCCCTCATCTTGAGCTCTGGGGACGGTGAAAAGGCCATTTCTGGTCCATGTCCTGGGATGCCAGAGCTGTATTTGATTTGGTATCTCTCCCTCCCAGTGGTCCAGATCGAGGGATGGAAGAAGCCTGGCACTGACTAAAGAGGGTGGCAGACAAGTGCAGGCCTGGATTCCAGGCACATCAGGGACACTCCCAGCAGCTTCGCAAAGCTGTGTGTGCTTAAGGATGCTTGGCTG